GCGAAAGCGGTTATCAATACTCGATCGAGTATATAAATGTACTCGATCGAGTATGTGTAGAAAGCTGAATTCGATCCATACTCGATCGAATTTAGAGTGGAATTAATAGCCATACCCGATCGAGTATGTCGGTGTACTCGATCGGGTATAGACACTCGATCGTGGGGAAATCTTCTTCTGCATGTTCCTTTGTTTTCGGATCCGATCCGATTTGAAATTTCAACCAGATACTCGATCGAGTATAGGGGATACTCGACCGAGTATAGACAAAAATCAGGATTCTCTTCTTTTGTCTTGTGATTTTGCACCTTCCTTTCACTTTTGGGGTTCACCAACCATCCTTTGAGTGATAGTAGACCTGTTTGAGCTCAGAATAATCCTAATCTAAACAATTTACAAGATTTCAACAAACTAAACTATTACACCGAAAGTGTGTAATTTCCGAAATACTAAACAACCAAAACTAACTAAAAATGTAAATAAACACACGGAAATTACAAACGTATCACATATGCTTGACTTGAGCAGTCATGTCTCTCTTCCAGATCAATTCTTTGATGACATCCCAGATCAGAGAGAGGTAGTCACAATCCTTGCTAAAAGCAATGCCATGGGAGATCGTTAGTGTCACGCCCTGGACCTACCGGACACGTCAACAACCCGCCGTACAGTACGAATAGTCAACCGCAGTCCAACTCATCCATACTATACTAGGCGTCTTGAATACCATTCACACATAGTACATCCATAAACAATCATAACGTAAAATATTTAATTAAGCAGCGGAAACATAATTACAAATATTCAAGCCACACGTGGCAACCACGGGCATACAAGCCCCCAAATAAATATTCGAAATAATATCCATGAGCATTATTTAAATTGTTTTCAAAACGGAAACAGAAGAAGCACGAACCACGCCTTCCTCCTTGAATTCCCCGAAGCAACGAGCGGTAGTAGCAAGCTCTACTCCCTACCTGAAACTGTGAGGTGGCCTCCCCCGTGAAGGGGAGGTCAGTACTTGGAAGCATTTGACAAGTACAATGACAACTATACTAAGTATAATCAAAGTTTCAATCTCCAAGACCCTCAATCTAAGATGTTATTCATTTGTAATTAACTCATGTTCCTTCATGCTAGAGCTCGGCTCATAGTCACCCTACGTTTGCTAGAGCTCGGCTCATAGTCATACTAATTTGTGCTAGAGCTCGGCTCATAGTCACCCTACGTTTGCTAGAGCTCGGCTCATAGTCATACTAATTTGTGCTAGAGCTCGGCTCATAGTCACCCTACGTTTGCTAGAGCTCGGCTCATAGTGATGCTACCACGTGCTAGAGCTCGGCTCATAGTCACGTCAACTAATCCCTAAACCACTTCTTAGTCTAGGTTTCATCCATTTTGAGTAACCCTTAAGGCCTACTCCAAATGTAACTTGAGTTCATAATAATTTGAATATCTCAATTAAATTCCACATTCAAGTATAACTTGGCTCTAATATCAAAATATCACTTTTATTCTTCCATGACTTCCTTACATGAGGTAAAAGTATATTTATCACAATTTAGTTTATAGTTTACACAACTATTATACCATTGTATTCATAATACATAATCATACACAATTTATTCATAAATTTGTATATTATGCATTTTTTTTGCTTATAATCAATAAAAATCTCATTTAGGCATTTTTTTATTATAAATAAATCCTGCCAAACACATATAATTCATTTAGGTAATCTTATGAAATTAACCCAATAATTATAAGCAATATAGTCGGTCATCCTCACCTTAAGTGAGCTTAAGCGTGTTCTACGCTCCCCGATCGAACTTTGACTAATTCCGGTGAACTTTGACCAATTCCGGCGAACTTTGACCAACTCCGGCGAAACTCTGGCGAAACTCCGGCGAAGCTCGAAAATGCTCTAATCAAGTTCCTAACAAGGTTTTAACATCATAAAACCTTAATCAAAACAAATAACCTTTAAAAGGTTATTTTCCGGTGAACTTGTCGGTTTGGCTTCTAAGCCCGTTTTTGGACTTAGAACCACTCTCCAACCTATTATTCCACACTTTAATTATGTAGAACAACCCTCAAGGTCCTTCATATGATATATATCACATATGATAGAAGAAAATAAAGGAAAAGTTAATATAAGGTTATTACCTTAATCTTTCTCACTTTTCCTAGCTTTTTCTTCCTTTAATCTTTCCCCTTGGACTTCTATTGCTTGAGCTCTCTTCAAGGATGGGAAAAGGAGGATGGGAATTTTTCTTGGTCTTGCTGGGGTTTGTGCTGGACGAGAGAAAGAAATGAGGGAGAGAGGAATTCCTCTTTTGTCTTAATGGGCAAATAAACATGGGTGTGGGTCTACCCCATTTTGTTTGATGCCAATTCCTTCATCTCAATATCATCTCTCATGATTCCCTACTCTACCATCCGGCCAACTCCTTAATTTGAGTGGCCAAATTCGTGGGTTGGCCCCCACCCATGTGGGAGGTCAACCCTTTTTGTCCAGAAGTGTACAATCGGTCCCGAAAGTTGTATTTTTTTGGACTGTTTTAAATATATTTTATTTTATCGGGTCAAATAAAATATATTATGTGTTCTTAATCATTATATCCTTTATAATGAATATACATTTCCCAACTTTAATTTATAGGCCTTCGAAATCCCATTTCGGGCTTTTATCGGTTAAATTACTAGTACCGGTGTTTTGGCCTTTTTGATCAACCGGTCAACTCTATATCATCTCTTTGGACCAATAAATTATCCACCACCATATAAATATTATATTGACCAAGATGAATAAAATATACGGTCTCGGGAATATCGGGCGGCCCCCGCTCCCGGTGTGGGCCCCACGTGCGAATTTACTATTCACGCAAAATGATTAATAAAAATTCACAACTTCGTATTCTCACTAACCATTATACAAGGTTCAATACATTATTCACTTACAAGTAAATACATTTGGGGGCGGTGTTACAAGTTAGAATGTAGATGTTGCACTTATCAAAATCTGAAGAGCATATCATGGCCGACATCATCATATTGGGCTTGGGACGGAATCTGAAGCACTTCTTGGGGTATATTCTTTTAGTGATTTGGACCTCACTGTCGTCAATTGTAGTCTTCAGAATTCTGGCACCAGAGGCATCTCTTGCTTTGTTTAGTATTCCCCGAAATTGTCGGAGATAGACCTCTAGCACTTCAGCAGTTTTGTTTAGGGTCTTCCATATTTTGTGCCCTTTTAGTACAATCACTATGACGTTGTCTTGGCAGAAGAAGATAGTCGGATCAAGCTGTGAGTTGTACTCCTTGATGGGGTACCCATTCTGAATGCTTTAGATGGTCTCGATAGCTGCAAGTTCTGCCATTTGATCTGAAAATGATAATCAGTTGGAATAAGTGTATCGATGAATTTTAAAAAAAAATCCAAGTGTCAGTTCACACATAACAGATGATCGTGCATGGTATAGGTTCGCGCACAAGGCCCTTCGTGCATGGTATACTTCATGCATGGGTGTTCGCGTATGGGTCTTTGCGCATGGGGTTGGTTCGCGCATGATCAGTTCTTCGCGCATGACTCATCTTCGCGCATGGAATCATGTTCGCGCATGAGTCAAACTTCGCACACCACTGAAGTTCGCCATAGGTATGGTTCGTGCATAAGCTTTTGCGCATTAGATCACGCATAAGCTTTTGCGCATTGATAAACCATTTTCAAGCATTGATTATGACTTTTAACCTGCAAAAACAACAAAGTAGAAACAGCCGAAGATCTATTTTATTCAATATTAAATACAACAAGAGGCATATAATAATTGAACATTGATCATAACAAAAATATCTCTAACATTTGCACTGGGTTCGGGCCTGACTTCACTACTCCGTATTATTTTAAAATTGAATGCCCAATCCCGTCTTGAAGCCCGACCTGACCCAATACTGTTTGGGCCTGACCTGGTCCTGTTTGGGCCCGACCTGGTCCCGGTACAAACCCAGGATGATACCGAGCCTAAAATCATTAAGACCGAAGACCAACCAATCTCGTCCCAAAATCCGACCCGATCCCAACCCAATTCATCCCTATCGAGTACGTTCTAACGGATTATAGAACAAGATTGTGCGTACAATCATTTAAGACACTCATTTGCTTCTACGATTGGTTGAAGGTCGACGTAAAACTCAAGAAATTTGCATCACCCTCAACTGTCACTTCATGGAGGAAACAATCAACCGGTGGGCGTAGCTCAACTGGTAGCGAGGGAGTGCCACAAGGGTTAGGTCTCGGGTTCGAATCCCGGCAACTGCGATGAGGGGTTACTATACTGAAAAATGCATAGGGCCTCTGCAAGTACCGGGGACAGAGCCCAACTCTCTATCTGTCAGATTGTGATTATAGTCCAATTTACATCCTCCCATCGTGTTGTCCGGTCAGTGTTGGGGGCCCTCAGGGATGAGGTGTCACCCTTTTTTATGGAGGAAACAATCGACACATGAAAAAATTCCAACTGATTTTTAGCAAATATATTTAATGTTTTAAATTATTCTCTATTGTACTTGATATATTCTCAAATAAGTATACATTTAGTTTTTATTGTCTAGCACTTCTTGAAATCTGAAACCCGACCAGGAACTGGATCGAGGCCCGGCCCGATAGCCCAGAACGTAACTGGTACCAGTATAAGTCCAAGTCTGGCCAACACCAAGCCTTTGTTCCTTAGTACCGCAGCCCACCCAGGCTGGGCCCGACACGGCCGAGTCCAACACTAGTTCTATCCCCATTCCAACAATGCATTTCTCAGATAGAGGGAATGCATTTCTGAAATAGAGGGAGGGCCAGAGGGTGCCTACTTGAATCATTGTACCCTTTCTCACACCTCAATCCAGAGGGTCGTGGAAAGAGCAGGTTCAAAATCAGGATTTAAGGAGCGAAACAATATATGTAGTGAATGTAGTGAATGTTGTAGAAAAAGTATACGATAAGAATCATACCAGGGAAAGAATTTAATAAAAAAAATGAGCAGAGGTTATAAATAGACGGCAGTATTTATCAATATGTAGATGGAAAAACATAACAAAATAGGAAAGTGCTTAATGTGATACTACGTAAAATATTTCTGAAAAAGGAAAATGTTGAAAGTAATTAAATATGGAGGGAGTAGGTGATGAGTAATTTCATCTTCAGTAACACAGTTAGAAATGAAATTAGCTAGCTGGTAAGTATTTTCAACTAATTGTTGAGTGAGCAACTGATCTCTCGTGCGCACAAAAAAAAAGAAGCAACAACAAAATGCCTCATGCTCATTTTTTCGAGTATGCCTGCCCATGCGCCCGCCTGTCAGCCGTATGAGTGAGTCGTCATCATACCAGCTATCAAGAGAGATATTTTGAGCTTTTGACATCCCCATCACACTTCACTTCTCTCCCCAGCCTGCCCATGCGCCCGCCTGTCTAGCACTACAGCAGAATTGCAAAGTCAATACCCATATGTACCACCCATCGTATCAAAAATTTTATGGAACCATATGTGATTCAATCACAGAGTATGGTGACATCATTTCCACCACATATCATTTTAGTGGGGACTCCTAGTAAAATGATATGTGGATGACTATTTATTAATGATTTTTAAGGGTAATAATCAGCCCCTTGATCTCAAATATGTTCGAGATGAATATTGGCACGCCGCACGAAACCAAACTTAGGGGCAAATGGAATATTTGCTAATACAGACATACTCCATAAGTTTTTATTTCAAATGTTTATTCAAGCACATTTTGTTTATCTTTCTATGACAGACTAGGAAATACAATTATATATGTAAAAAGAAATTTACAAAAAAAATCAGTCTGGCATACTTTACTTTTGATTTTCATTTTTCAAGAATAATAAAAACAATGATAAGTTTCCATCATTAGTGTGAAAGACATTGGAATATGCTGTATAATATGCTTTAGAATATTCTTCTATCTTTAGAATATGCTTTAGAATATTTTAGGAATATACTCTAAGATATTATTATTGTATAGCATCTTATAGGAATATTCTATCTTTGTAATGTATATATATATAGGGACTTATCCCTCCAATGAAATACACAGAAAATCTTTCCTCCACTCTTCAATATTATTCTAGTTTATATTTCAACATGGTATCAGAGCCTTCCATTTCAGTTTAGTTTTTTTTTCAGATTTCAATTTTGTTTTTCAGACTCAGTTCTTTCTCAAAGAACTTGAGTTCAGTTCAGAACCTCTGTGCACCATTCTGTCTACAAGAAACTCAACCCAGACAGAACCTCTCTACGCATCATCGCCATTATCCAGAACCTCTATTCAGAACCTTAGTTCAAATTCAGAACCTCTGCCAGGTCTGACCATATTTTTTTTCCGGCGAATTTCGGACAACACCATTCCTGCCGTCCCCGACCAGGCATTGAAATTACGCAGCTCCAAATTGACGCCCTACAGCCACAGTCCTCTGGAAGTAATTGCAGCTGCCGGCGACTGACACACCTTCCCTCTGGCCGGAGATTCGACCGGGATTTTTGCCACAGACTCGCCTGAGAATCCGCTACCATCAGGTATCGTTTACTTCTCCAGCAAAGGAGCAAAGGAACGGATATCTGTGGGAGGAAATCTTGTGGTTGGTCGATGGGGTTTGGCATCGGACATCCGCTCTTCACTGATTCTTGCGTGCTGGGGTCTAGCATCGGATCTCTAGCATATGCTCTAGCGCATCTTCTTTTACTCTGTTTGGAGTCCGAAGCAGTCAACGCCAAAGCCCAAGATAAGATATTTTGTTCTCCTAATTTTGAGTCCATAATGGGAAAGCTGCTGTGAGTTTATTAGTTATATTCGAAGTCCAGAAGCATTTAAATCTTTTAGTCCACAAACCGAAAAAAGCTTCTGTAAGTTTTTTTTTTACCTAATATCCCAAATTCTTTGCTGCCTCATAATATATATATATATATATATATATATATATATATATATTTCATATGTATATATATTAAAAAAAAAAGAAAAAAAAAAGAAAAAAAAAAGTAAATTATGTATTGTACGGGTAAGTTTGACAGAGCAGTAATATGCAATTACTGCAAGAAGCCCGGACACTTGATCAAAGAATGTAGAAAATTGCTATTCAAAAATCAAGGAAATCAGCTTGCTCGTGTCGCTTCCGCTACTAGTTCATCTGATGGATCAGTTGCTATTTCTTCAGATGAGTATGCCAAATTTATTTGCTACCAAGAATCTCTAAAGCATTCATTTGTCCCTATCTCGGTAGCCGCAAATTCAGGTATTTCAAACACATGTCTTGTTTCATCATCCTCGAAATGGGTCATTGACTCAGGTGCCACAGATCATATGACCGGTAATCCTAGTCTATTCTCGTCATTTCATTCATATTTACCTACTTCTAGTGTCACTTTAGCTGATGGATCTACCTCACCCGTTCTTGGATCTGGTACTGTTGTTCCAACTTCTACATTACCATTATCGCCTGTTTTGAGTCTTCCTAATTTTGCATTTAATCTGCTTTCCATCAGTAAGATCACTCGTACTCTTAATTGTTCTGTAACATTTTTTCCTGGATATTGTGTGTTTCAGGATCTGTTAACGAAGCAGATTATTGGTAAAGGACATGAGTCAGCTGGTCTTTATATTTTGGATACATCCATCACAAAAGGTATCTCTTGTCTTGGGGTTGGGACTTTGTTAGATGCTCATTACCGATTAGGACATCCATCTCTCCCATTAATGAAGCAAATAAATCCCCAATTTAATAAGATGACCTCTTTACAATGTGAGTCATGTCAATTTGCGAAACACCATCGTACTAGCTTAAGCCCGCGAGTTAATAAACGAGCAAATGCTCCATTTGACCTTGTTCACTCTGATGTTTGGGGAGCTTGTCCGGTTGTGTCTAAAGCTGGTTTTAAATATTTTGTTACCTTTGTTGATGACTATTCTCGTATGACATGGTTGTATTTCATGAAACGTCGATCTGAGTTGTTCACTCATTTTTCTTCCTTTTGTGCTGAAATTAAAACTCAATTCAACGTCCCTGTTCGGGTGTTAAGAGGAGACAATGCCCAAGAATATCTATCTGCTACATTTAAGTCATTTATGCTTCAACATGGCATTATTCATCAAACTTCATGCGTTGACACACCTCCTCAAAATGGAGTTGCAGAACGAAAGAACCGACATCTGTTAGAAACTGCAAGGGCTCTTCTATTCCAAATGAATGTGCCGAAACAGTTTTGGGCAGATGCCGTGTCTACTGCATGTTTTTTGATCAATCGAATGCCATCTTCTGTTTTGAATGGTAAAGCTCCTTATCATTGTCTATTTCCAAACAAAGAGCTTTTTTCTATCCCACCTAAAATATTTGGTTGCACTTGTTTTGTTAGAGATGTTAATCCTCATCTTACAAAGTTAGATCCCAAATCATTAAAATGTATTTTCTTGGGTTATTCTCGAGTCCAAAAGGGGTATAGATGTTTTTGTCCGAGTACTGGTCGGTATCTTGTTTCTATTGATGCATCATTTCATGAAAATACACCTTTTTCATCATCTAAGGCAGATATTCATGAGAGTAATGATGATATTCTCATTTACACGATGACTATTCCTGAGTCCACACTTTCAACAAATATTCCACAAGTTACTGTTCCTGACCTTAGGCCTCCCGTACATTTGGTATACACCCGTCGACACAAAGCACCTGATCACCCTCCACCGGCGATACCTGTGATTACTTATCCTGATACTAGTTCGACTCCGATCTCATGTCCTGAACCAGTACCTGCATCTTCAGATCTTGTCTCCACATCAGATCTTGACCTCCCAATAGCACTACGTAAAGGTACACGGTCTTGTACTCATCCTATTTCTTCATTTGTGTCGTACAATCAGTTATCTCCTGCTTCATGTTCTTTTATTGCTTCCATTGATTCTATTTCTGTTCCCAAATCTGTCAAAGAAGCTTTGTCTCATCCTGAATGGCGTCATGCCATGGTAGAGGAAATGAATGCTTTAGATCTTAATGGTACTTGGGATTTGGTTGACTTGCCTACAGGGAAGAAATCTATTGGATGTAAGTGGGTCTTTGCTGTTAAGGTTAACCCAGACGGATCTGTTGCTCGGTTGAAAGCCCGATTAGTTGCAAAGGGTTATGCTCAAACCTATGGTGTTGATTATTCTGACACTTTTTCTCCTGTTGCTAAATTAACATCTGTCAGGTTACTTATTTCACTCGCTGCAACTCATGATTGGCACTTACATCAGTTGGACATTAAAAATGCATTTTTGCATGGTGACCTTAAGGAAGAAGTCTATATTGAGCAACCTCCGGGATTTATTGCTCAGGGGGAGTATGGTAAAGTTTGTCGACTTCGCAAATCTCTTTATGGTCTGAAACAGAGTCCTCGTGCATGGTTTGGAAAATTCAGTCAATCAATTGAACAATTTGGAATGATAAAGGGCAAATCAGATCACTCTGTATTTTACAGACGAACAAAAGCAGGTATCACATTGCTTGTGGTGTATGTCGATGATATTGTGATTACAGGGAGTGATAATGCAGGTATTTTGGCTCTTAAGAATTTTCTTCATAGTCAATTCCAGACGAAAGATTTGGGCTCATTGAAATACTTCTTGGGGATTGAGGTTATACAGAGCAAGAAAGGCATCTTTCTATCTCAACGTAAATATGTGCTTGACTTGCTAACTGAAACAGGGAAACTGGGGGCAAAACCGAGCAATACTCCCATGATTCCCAATGTGCAGCTCACTCATGAAGGCGTACCATTCGAAGATCCAGAAAGATATAGAAGGTTGGTTGGAAAGCTTAATTATCTCGCAGTTACCCGTCCAGATATTGCATACTCAGTGAGTGTAGTAAGTCAATATATGTCATCTCCGACAGTTGATCATTGGAATGCTGTAGAGCATATATTATGTTACTTGAAGGGGACACCAGGACGAGGTATTGTTTATCAAAATCATAATCACATGCGCATAGAATGCTTTGCAGATGCTGATTGGGCTGGATCTAAAGATGATAGAAGATCCACATCTGGCTATTGCGTCTTTGTTGGTGGTAATCTCGTCTCTTGGAAAAGTAAGAAGCAGAATGTGGTTTCTCGTTCGAGTGCTGAATCAGAATATCGGGCTATGGCACAATCGGCATGTGAGATAATCTGGATAAACCATCTATTGAGTGAAATCGGACTGAAGACACCAATGCCTGCTAAACTCTGGTGTGATAACCAGGCTGCTATACACATTGCCAACAACCCAGTGTTTCATGAGAGAACAAAACATATTGAGGTCGATTGTCACTTTGTTCGAGAAAAGATACAACAAGGATTGATCTCTACAGGATATGTGAAGACGGGAGAGCAACTTGGAGACTTGTTCACTAAAGCACTAAATGGAATTCGTGTTGGTTATTTATGTAACAAGTTGGGCATGATAAATATCTATGCTCCAACTTGAGGGGGAGTGTGAAAGACATTGGAATATGCTGTATAATATGCTTTAGAATATTCTTCTATCTTTAGAATATGCTTTAGAATATTTTAGGAATATACTCTAAGATATTATTATTGTATAGCATCTTATAGGAATATTCTATCTTTGTAATGTATATATATATAGGGACTTATCCCTCCAATGAAATACACAGAAAATCTTTCCTCCACTCTTCAATATTATTCTAGTTTATATTTCAACAATTAGCAATGGAGCCAAAGACTCACGATTTCTTGGCTTGGAATATGATGAAATAAAGAAAAATGGCTCACTCGAAGGAGGCAATCTCGATTGTGTTAGGTGGGGAGAAACGAAGATGGAAGGATGAGATTCATGCAACATTTCTCAGGTTAAAAAGGATGAAGGTATGCTTCCGACATGTTATGCGTGAGAGCCATTGGGCCGCTCATTATCTTGCGGAAGGAAATGTTTGGATTGCCTTCTTTCATATTTTTGTGAATTTAGTTTTTATTGGGCAATGTTTGGTCCCCCAATCCTTATTTTATTTTGTTCCTTCATTTGCTGCTCTTATGTAATTTGAAAGGGGATGCCCTTTCTGGAGAGGTTTTGGTTTAGTCCCCCTCTTCATTTGTATTTCCCGACATTAATAAAATCTGGCAAATGTTCCCCCACCATTTGCTCCACTGATTTTGGTGGTTTAACTTCCGGGGTAAAAAAAATGGTTCACTAAACTGTCTGCACTTCTTTGTTATGAAGCAACAACCAGTCCATGTAATTTTTTACGCGATTCTCACTACGGGTCATCCGGAAACAGTCTCTGTGCTATAGTACAGGGGGTAAGGTTGTGTACATCCGACCCCCCTTACCCCACCGTAGGTGAGAGCCTTTGCGGTACTGCGGTAATGATGATGATGAATGAAAACAATGATAAAATAACTCTCCTTCAAATATTTGTGTTCTTCTTTTAGCATTTTAGAGCACCAAAACATCAAATGGTTTTATCCTTCCATATGTCAGCATTAACATGTACTCCCTCCGTCCCATTTATATTGTCCCGGAAGAGGGTGGCACGGTTATTAAGAAAAGTGAGTTTGTGTGGTTGATATTAATTGATAAAGTAAGAATAAAGTAAGAATGATTTAGAGCCACACAAACTTTGCCAAATATGGTATAGGACAATATAAGTGGGACTTCCCGAAAAGGTAAAACGGGACAAAATAAATGGGACGGATGGAGTAGCTGCTAAAACATGCAAGATCACGTGCTTTGATGTACATGTATTAGGCTCTGTTTGTTTCCTTGAGAAATAAGCTTTGGAGAATATTTGATGGGGAATCGTATTCTTGGGGATAATTTTTTTTTTCTAATGTACTCATAAGATAATGTTTTACCAGGAAGAAACAAGAAATTTAAGACATGTTTACTTACGGAGATATTTTCTTAGAAAACTGGAAAACAGAAAACAGGAAACGTTTTTACCAAAGAAAATTGCTGGAAAACTAGAGAAAGGAAAACAGAAAAACACGTTTACCAAATCATTTTCCAAAACAAAAAAAATGAGACATGTCTCTCTTTTCCTTAATGATTTGGAGAAGTGACTTTTACTAGTTTTCCAAATTTGGAAAACGCAGATGCTAGAGTGCCGCTGCAATGAATTTGAATACACACCTAGTGGTGGGTCCGGTCTCGCTACGATGTTGATTCCATTCCGGTACCTCCATCCTTGTACGTTACCCCTTACCCTACCCACCCAACCCCCATCCCGCGTACCCTTTATCCATACAATGACCCTACCCCACCCCCTACCACATGCCCCTAGCTACCTCGGCCCCACCTTGATCCACCCTACCCTAACCGCCACCCCCTACCACCTCGACCCTACCCCAACCCACCCTACCCCCACCCTCGTATATTACCCCTTACCACATGCCCCTACCTTGGCCCCACCCTACCGCCATCCTACCCCCACCCTACCCTTCTTCTACCTCGGCCCCACCCTACCGCCATCCTACCCCAACTCCCTACCCTACCCCTACCTTAACCCCAACCCCAAACCCTACCCTTACACCTAACCACGACCCTAACCCACCCACTACCCCCACCCAACCCCCTACCCCTAGACCTTACCACCTCACCCCCACCCATATCTTCCCTACCCCGACCCCTACGAGTAGGTATGGGTGGGTATAAAGGGTTGTAGGGGAACATGAGTAGAGTGTAAGATCGTGGTAATGGTAGGGGTAGGGGTCAAGGGTGTGAAATTGGGTGTAGGGTGGGGGTACGAGGTATAGGGGCGGGGTAGAGGTTAGGGGTATGGGTACACGTATGAGGTGATCGACCCTACATATTATATTATATATTTGTGTTCATGAATGATTGTGTGTCTATATATGTATAGGGTTATTTTGGACATTTTAATGTTAAACGGTGTTTTAAAACTTTTGAAGTAAACATGATCTTACAACATTGCTTGTTTATGCGCCGCTTATTAACGCGGGTCTTAATAAACACCATTTAGTAACCCGTGAAGTAAACGTGTCCTCAGTCTTCTGGATGATCACAAACTGAGTGAAAAAATTGATGAACATGTTTTCAGATTTGAAAATGGAAAACTAAAAAATAGAAACAGAAAATTGGAGAACGAAAAACAAAAGTAAAAAACAGGAAAGGAAAATATATCTGTTAGTAAACAGGCCCTTAGTATTTAGAAACATGACTTCCTTTTTCCACTGTGTGTATGATCACAGGTTTATAGAAGATCCTAGATAAGCAATAAGTGACATGGAAACAAAAGAGTACAAGTATATTTGATTATACCTCAGATGGTGAAGAAACAATTAATTCCCTCTCCGAATTGAAATGCCCACTTAACCTCCTGCACAATTTCAAACAAATCGGGATTAGTTACTCACCATCACAATATCCCATCATTTAAATTAGTTCCCCACCCCCTTCTCCACCCCCTTCTTTCACCATTCCTCATGAGGTGATGGGGGTGAGGGAGATTTTTCATTCTCTGAATAAAAAGACTACCTTGAACTTCATTTAGAATCGAAAAAAAGAATACCTTGGCCTCTCAGAATTCGCAAGATGCTTAGACATTATTGATGCCTGCAAAGGCAGAATCATTTTATCAATCTATATCTTAGCCACAAAAGGTGGTCTGAGAAATTAAACTAAAATGCACAAGCAAATTGTGGTGTAACAAAGCCAAAACCCTTGCAGTCTAAAATTATATATGGAGAAAGACTTTTCCAATGAAGGCAAATGACCATAGGTTGTGTTTAGTTAAGAGTTTTATCGGGAGCATATAAACTTTTCAATCCATATTAACCCATGTAAAAGTTGGATAAAAAGTTAACTTTGGTGCTAGCTAATAAGCTTATTAAATAGGCTAAAGAAAGTTAAATGTTAATTTACCAAACAGTTTCCAAAAATAACTTTTTGGATTACTTTTTAGAAACTAAATAGAATAACACACAGCCATTCATACTTGTCACGGCGGTAAGGCAAGTCACAGTAATAGGAGAGTTTACAAAGAAACAGAGAATATTTATATTAAACGACTACTTACACATTGTATAATACCATGTATATTATACATATAATTATATATATAATTATATATTACATTTTTTTGTGAAAGGAAAATTTTTATGGGATAAGGGTCAGATAGGGCCTCGAACTCGAAAAAAAATGTCAAACAAGGTCATATTTAGGATGCTCTGTCCGGCCGACGCCATTTGGGGTGGTTCCCGATGGAATTTTTTGATGAAATTTTTTGAGCATCTTCCTCATTAAGTCTAGTTTACTCATACCAAATTTCACCTAAAAATGCAACCGGGAAGGTAGTCAAATGATTTTCCGAAATGTACGGGGTTGTTTAACTTCACAATTATCTTCAAAAAATTATTTGACTACCTTCCCGGTTGAATTTTTAGCTGAAATTTGGTATGGGTAAACTACACTTAATGAGGAAGATGCTCAAAAAAATTCATCAAAAAATGGCATCTGGAACCGCCCCAAATGGCGTCGGCCGGACAGAGCATCCTAAATATGACCTTATTTGACATTTTTTTTCGAGTTCGGGGCCCTATCTGACCCTTATCCCAATTTTTATTGATGAAACAGAGAAACATATTAACTCCGCCATGAGATCAATTTTTTTGGTTTCATGCATGTCCCAAGCCAGGATAGAGGAGGGTGATGTGGTAGGCACGTGACGGCCAACAGTATTACCTAGTCACATCACATGACATGAATCGAAATATGAATATCGCTATAGCTAGGTCGTCGCCCGTAAGCGACGCGTCATCCCCCCGCCTGGGGGTGGTGTCAAATATGCAAGGGCGCGCTACACTTCATAGGCCTGGGTGTGGTGATAAGAATGTTAAGGTTGCTAGGTCGTCGCCCGGAAGCGGCGCGTCATCCCATTGCCCGAGGATGATGTCAAATATGCAAGGGCATGGTGGGGTCCGAGGCGGGGCTAAGAACAGAAGGTGGAGTGCTAGATTGCGCTTTGGGACGTGGAATGTTGGGTCTCTTACAGGCAGATCTTCCGAGGTAGTCGAAGTTATGAGGAGGAGGAATATCGGCATTATGTGTGCAAGAAACTAAATGGGTTGGAGAGAAAGCATGTGAGATTAATCCCGGAGGTTTTAAGTTGTGGTATTCGGGGAGAGATAAGACCAGGAATGGGGTAGGCATTATTGTGGCACGTGATTATGTTGAGGATGTGGTAGAAGTCTTCAGGAAGAACGATCGCATCATGAGCATTAAATTGGTGATGAGGGGTGAGATTGTGTCTGTGGTAAGTGCCTATGCACCACAAGTGGGATTGGATGCATCTACAACTCAACAGTTCTGGGAAGATCTTGAAGATGTGGTGCGACGAGTGCCAAGAGGAGAGAAGTTGGTCATAGGAGGCGACCTCAACGGGCATGTGGGCTCGATGCGTGATGGCTTTGAGAGTATTCATGGCGGACATGGTTTTGGCACTAGAAATGAAGCGGGAAAGAACATTTTGGATTTTGCCTCGACGTATGAGTTGGCTATAATGAACATTTGGTTTAGGAAAAGAGACTCTCACCTAGTAACCTATAGAAGTGGAGCTAATAGTACCCAAATTGACTACTTCTTAGTACGTACTACTTGGAGAACTAGCTACACCGATTGTAAGGTTATCCCAGGTGAGAGTGTTGTCACTCAGCATAGGATGCTTGTGCTCGACTTTCGAGGTAAGAACCATAGAAGACAAGTTAAGCAACAAGTGGAGCCAAAGATAAAGTGGTGGAGGTTTGAGGGGGATCTTCAACAAAGCTTTACACACAAAATGTTCGGTGAAGATGTATGGCGTATTGATAATGGAACACAGGTGGAGGATGCGTGGTTATCGATGGAGCTGACCATTAACAAAGTGGCAAATGAGGTACTTGGGGAATCTAAAGGATGTTTGCCACCCAAAAAGGACACGTCTTGGTGGAATGATGAGGTGAAACAAGCCATAAGGAACAAAAGAGATTGCTACAAAAAGTTGGGGATAAGTCGGAGTGATGAAAACATAGAAGCTTACAAGGAGGCTAGAAGACAAGCAAAGAAAGCCGTAAAAGAAGCACAAGGGAAAGTGAACAAGGAGCTGTATGAAAAATTGGACTCTAAGGAAGGAGAACAAGAGATCTATAGACTTGCTCGTCTTCGTGATCGCAGGACTCAAGATATCGGAAAAGTTAAGTGTGTGAAGGATGTTGATCAAAGGATATTAATGGAGGACAGAGAGATAAAAGAGAGGTGGAGATCATACTTTGATACATTGTTCAACGGGAACAAAGTGCAAGATATCGATGATTTGACCATACCAGATTGTATGGTAAATCGTGATTTTGTGAGAAGGATCCAACCAACGGAAGTTAAAGAGGCTTTGAGGAAGATGGGGCGGAAGAAAGCAGTGGGTCCAGATGGCATACCGATCGAGGCTTGGAGAAGTTTGGGAGAGAGGCATCGGGTGGTTAACAAATTTCTTCAACAAAATTTGGAGAAACAACAAGATGCCAACGAGTGAGTTGGAGAAAGAGTACTCTTATTCCCTTATTTAAGAATAAAGGTGATGTACAGGAATGTGCCAACTATCGGGGGATTAAGCTTATGAGTCATACCATGAAACATTGGGAGCGATTGATTGAGCAAAGACTTCGAAGAACGGTGAAGATCTCAGAGAATCAATTTGGTTTTATGCCTGGTCGCTCAACAACTGAGGCTATTCACCTTCTTCGGCAACTTATGGAGAAGTATAGAGACGCTCACAAGGATTTGCATTTAGTGTTCATTGACCTAGAAAAGGCATATGATAGGGTACCTCGAGAAGTTCTTTGGTGGGCCTTAACTAGAAAAGGCATTTCATGCAAGTATATCAGCATCATCATGGATATGTATGAGGATTGTACTACAAGTGTCCGTACTAGTGTAGGGAGGACTGCGGAGTTCCCTATTACTATCGGAGTGCACCAAGGATCGGCTCTTAGCCCTTTTTTATTTGTCATAGTCATGGATGAACTTACAAAGTCAATTCAAGACGATATACTGAGGTGCATGATGTTTGCCGACGATATTGTATTGATTGATGAGACGCAATCAGGGGTTAAAGCAAAGTTGGAAGTATGGCGACAGACATTGGAGAACAAGGGTTTCAGACTAAGTAGGAGCAAGACAGAGTACATGGAGTGCAAGTTTGGTGGAGGTAGAAGCAGTGGTAATAGCAGAATTACTTTAGATGGTAAGGAGATACCAGTCAGCGATATGTTCCGTTATTTGGGCTCCATAATTCAGAAGGACTGTGAGTTAGATGGAGATGTATCCCATAGAATCAGAACAGGGTGGATGAAGTGGAAGAGTGCGTCAAGATTTCTATGCGATCGAGGTATGCCGACTAGATTGATGGGTAAATTTTATAGGACAGCAATTAGGCCGGCATTACTGTATGGCACGGAGTGTTGGGCGGTGAAACAATGTCACATTCAAAAGATGAGTGTGGCAGAGATGCGCATGCTGCGTTGGATGTGTGGGCATACTAGAAAGGACCGCGTGAGGAATGAGACAATTAGACAAAGGGTGGGAGTAGCACCTATTGAAGATAAGATGCGGGAGTCACGCCTACGGTGGTTTGGTCATGTGCATAGAAGACCGAGTGATGCACCTGTCAAACGAGTTGAGATGTGTGGAGAAGAGGTAGGGAAGAGAGGGAGAGGAAGGCCCAAACAGACGTGGGTTAGGGGAGTCAGAAGTGATATGTTTCTTCTTGGATTGGATGAGGGTATGGCTTTGGAGAGAGCAAAATGGAGGGCGGGTATTCGTGTTGAGGAGTGATCTTGTATCATTTTTTCTTCTTCTTCTTCTTCTTCTTCTTCTTTTTTCTTCTTCTTTTATATCTTTATCCTTATATATAAATATTACTTTATCCTTTTTATTTGATCTTTTATATGTATATTCATCTCTTTTATATTATCTTTTTTTTATAATAGCTTATCTTTTTTATCTTTATTTTCTTTCTTTTCCTTTTGGTGATAATGTGATATCCTATATCGATTCATGTTAGCCGACCCCATTATCGTTTGGGACTAAGGCTTGGATGTTGTTGTTGTTGTTGTAGAGAAACATATTACAAAGAAAAGACGAAAAAGGAGAATAAAAGAACAAAAAAATCAAACCAAAGGGAGAGTACTAATCAGACAAACCAATCCTAAGAATCAAGAGACCCTCCCTATAAAGAGCATTAAATTCCAAGATATCACTCGAACTCCTCTTGTGATTGAGATCATGTTCTCATGTGATGAAATTGCTGAAATTTTTTCCTGTAAATTTTTATTTGAGTATTGAGGTTCTCTGTGGGGTAAGCAATTCTCTTGTGTGACTAGGCAAGTCTTGTTGCATATGTGACATTCTATTTAACTATATTTAATTTGTAATTTATTACGAATTATTAATAGTTTAATGTTTGTATACCAAATATTAATATACAAGTTATATGCATAGCAATATACTGTAGTGTGTATCTATAGTTCTAAAACTATAGATATTTAGATATGCAAAATGACCCTCAGCAACTGTATATACACTCATTCTAGTATATAACTATAGATGTTCTAAAAGGATCCCCGCACATTTTGTCAGATTGTCTCATTTCTAAAACAAAATTTTCTAGTATGTTCAGACATCCAACGCAACATGTGCATCTCAATCGCACTCATCTTTTGAATGTGACATTGTTTCGTCGTTCAACACTCTACGACATACAATAATTTAGGTTTAATTAACTTGAAATTTTAAGTTAATTTTATGTTGCCAAAACAAGAGGATGGACAAACATACTTTTTAGTAGTACAGTATAAGGAACATAAAGTCAACCTTGTTTATTGTCTAGAGGAAAATACTTAAGGACGGGTGGGCACTGGGCAGCCCGGTTGACATTAGTTTCTCCACAATGCGAGAGTCTTAAGAAGGATTCCACCAAAAGGGTATAGAGAACAAGTCTTCCCTTGTCAATTTTTAACAAGAGGATGCTACCAAGACTGAACCCATGACCTCTCGGATACACAATGCCACACCTTCATCAGTGCGCCAAGGCTCCGCTTTTGTCTGTAGGAGAATACTATGTAAAGAAAATAAAGATTAGGAAAACTGGCATACCGTCATATGTACCTGTTCTTGGATAATGCTCCTAGCCTCAACAAGTTGTGCTTCCAACTCAAGTTCTCTTTCTGTCACTTCAGCAGTTAGTTCTGCTCCTTTTTTATCATCTTGGAGCTGAAGCATACGCTCCTTCAAATTTTCAAAATCAAAGCAAATGCCAATTGACTAAATACGTTTTTTGCTACACACCTTTCAACTAAATATAACACTTGGGAATGGCTCACAGTGAAGCTCTTAAATACAGAGAAATTTAACATCTCAGGATAGCTCATAAATAAATTATCATATATTGAGGGTTGGTTTGCAACTCCTTTTAAAAAAGCACTTTTCAGCTTTTGACTTTAAAAAAACACTTATTTTCCCAAACACTACAACTTTTATTTTTCTCGGCTTCCGTGTCAAAAGTGCTTTTACTTTTTCTATTACACAAAAAACACTTATTTTACAAAACACTACCCACTTTTACTTTTCAAAATCACTTTTTTCTCAAACACTATCAACTTTTATTTAATCACTTCTCTCCATTTCATTAAAAAAAGTACTTTTTTAAAAGCAGAAACTGTTGCAAACAGACCCTGAATCATTTGAAAACAAAGAAAAACCGGTTGACTTAGTATAGCACCTCAGAATAGCCATAAAGTTAATTCAAGAACATTGATATGAATGTGACTACCCTGATTGATGCCATCTTTGTACGGAGACTTTCTTCAATTTGATCTCTAGCCATGTGCAGAGGCAAATCAAACACGTCCTAAAATTACAAATCACATATCATATTTTGTGGCATGTGTGAATTTGTTAATATTATACATTTCGTGAACAATACAATAATATGTATGGCTGTGTATAATACGACACAACTATATTAAGTAAAAATAAATGCATGTTCTATACGTTCGTGACATAGATACTGATATGGACACATTTTAAATGTTCCGCAATTTAATAATACGGCATATAGATTGAGTTTTCTTGGTCAATGATGGAAAATTTTAAATAATAATTTTAATTATTATATTTGTATAAAATTTATAAATTTTATGCTTTTATAAAATTATTTTTAATAAGGAACATTTTAATATAATCCTCATATTCAAAATATATTTGTATTAAAAAATATTGATCAAAGCTGACTATCATTGACCAGGAAAATTCAATTTGACAAACCTTTTTGGGACGGATGGAGTACTAATTTTAAATTAAGTGATACCAACTTCAAATTTTCTATTGCAATCGGGCCATGTAAAAATAAATCTTAAAGCAAGTAGAATAGCATCAAGTTTGCATAACATTAGAGGAAGTCATTGTGTGAAAAAGAAAAAAGAAAATATAAATCTAAAGTAAATAAACGCTAAATCTCATCTCAAATAGGAAAAGTGCTTACAAAAATTTAAAGAATAAAAATAAACTCTTTAAATTTAGTAAATTGACACAGTCAAATGGGACAAAAGAGGACACATCATACAACAACTAATAAGAATGAAAATTGATCTTTTCATTTTTACAACACCTAATACGGACTAAGAAAAATCGATGAATTGATAAATAAAACTTACTTAGGCTATTTGAGTACAAGTAGAAGAAAATTACTAGATAATAGTTGATATTACTATGATAGTGAGTTCACTAAGCCGCCACAAAACTCTCTTCTCTTTGGGGTCTTGGTATGTTGGAGCACAAGAGTAGTACATTAATAATATTTAAAGTACTATATAACCTGAATGGATTATGATTTTAAGGAACTAATTTATTAAATCTAATGATAATTAAATAATTAATGAACAAATAGGGCATAATAGTTACTTAAGCATTATAAATAATGTTGGGCAGCTAGACACTTTGTTTCAGCTGTGCCACTCCGTTAGGCTTGAGTTTAACAGCTTGATTTTTTTAATAAAATACGTATGAATATATGCACAATGTGTATTATATGGGAGTTATATGTTACGTGAATTATAAGCAAACTATACTCGAATAAACCTTAAAATATGTGAATTTTTCCAAATTTGAAACAAAAATCATAAACGAGAATTATATGGGAGTTATAAAGGAGTTTAAGAGAGAAGAATTTTTCAGAACTGAACTTGATGATCATTCCATTAATCTGTGGTGGTATTTATACAACCAAGGAGCTACTCTATAAGGAAAGGAAATATTCTAGCATAATTATTATAAATACAAATATATTTTCCTTAACTAGAATGGTATAACGGTAGATACTAATTTATTTCCTTTGGGAAAGATCCTGGGATATTTTGTCTTCTATACGCCCCCTCAAGCCAGGTATTCGGTCACTCCCAAGAATCCTGAGCTTGTCTTTGAGAAGAGTAAAGCGCTGCCGGGGAAGGGGTTTTGTAAGAGCATCAGCCAGTTGAGCATGAGAAGGAATGTGAACAACATGGAGAAGTCCCCGTTGAACACGTTGACGAACAAAATGAAAGTCAATCGCCACATGTTTCATACGGGAGTGAAAGACAGGATTTGCTGAAGATGTAGTGGCGCCCTTGTTGTCACACAAAAGAACAGGTGGAGATGTCAATGGATGTCGTAATTCATGAAGGAGGGACTGAATCCATAAAACTTCAGAGGCAGCCGTGGACAGTGCGCGATACTCTGCTTCTGTGGAGGATTTAGCAATGGTGCGTTGCTTGGTGGATTTCCAAGAAATGAGGGACTCACCAAGAAAGATAGCATAAGCACTAGTAGAAGATCTATCATCCGGATTGCCGGCCCAGTCTGCGTCAGCATAAGCACGGAGAGGAAGAGAAGAGCTGCGGGAAATAAAAAGGCCATGAGTGGCGGTCCCGTTAAGATACCGCAGGAGGCGTTTGAGGAGCTGCCAGTGATTGACTGTGGGTTTGTGCATAAACTGAGCAAGTTTATTTATGGCGAATGCGGCATCTGGTCTGGTAAGGTTCAAATACTGAAGTGAGCCAATAACTTGGCGATAAAGAGTAGCGTCACACAATCCCGAGCTGTCAAATAAGCTCAATGAAACTGATGAGGCTAAAGGTGTTGCCACGGGATTAGCCTCATGCATGTTCATGAGGTGCAAGAGGTCAGTGATGTATTTGTATTGATCAAGAAAGATGCCATCTGGTGTAGGGGTGAACTGGATCCCCAAAAAATAATGTAAGGACCCTAAATCCTTGATAGAGAATTTGTGTGCCAAGGATGCAATTGTTTGACGAACCAGAGCAGGAGTTGAACCAGTTACAATAATGTCATCCACATACACTAGAACATAAATGTAAGATGGATGAGATGAGAATATGAATAGACTAGCATCTGAAATGGATTGCTGAAAACCCAGAGAGAGGAGAAATCCACTGAGAGATTGATACCACACACGAGGTGCCTGTTTAAGACCATAAATTGATTTGCGAAGACGGCACACACGGCCAGACCCATCATTGAAACCGGGGGGTTGTTTCATGTAGACTTCTTCCTGAAGAGAGCCATGTAAGAATGCATTATTGACATCCAATTGATTAATGGGCCATCCATGAAACAAAGCAATGGTTAACACCACTCGAATGGTGACAGGTTTGATAACCGGACTAAAGGTGTCGGAATAATCGATCCCCGGGCGTTGATGAAACCCTTTAGCCACCAATCGAGCTTTGTAGCGATCCAGAGAACCATCTGCTTTATACTTTACAGTATATACCCATTTACAACCCACAATATTTTGGCCAGAAGTAGCAGGGACAAGATCCCAAGTACCTTGGTGAACCAAAGCATCAAATTCTACTGACATAGCTTCTCGCCATTCTGGTACCTGTAAAGCCTGAGAAGCACAAGTGGGAATAACATGATGATGTAAGGAGGATTGGGTAATAATGTTAGCTTGTTTACGAGGTCGAAGAGTCATTGGATGAGTCCGTTTGGGTGGTGAAACGGGAGGTTGTTCAGTAGTGGTGGTGGTGGTGGTGGTGATGTTATGGTTAATAGGCTGTTCATTAGGGAATGATGTACGAGCAGGTTGGTGTTTGGATCGGCGTTGGTAGGTGATAAGAGTAGGAGGGTTAGGCTTAGGGGAGGGTGGTGGGTTGGGGACAGTAGAGGGAGGAAGCATATTAAGTGACTTACCAGGAGAAGCTTGTTGATCCGGGGTATGAGTAACAGGAGACACTGCCGTCACTGTAGTACCTGAAGTAGGAAGGAAGGAAATAGGTGGCTGAAGCCACATGTCAATATCTGAGGATAAGTTGGTGACTTGTTTGGTGGTGTGAGAGAAAGGGAAGACTGACTCATCAAACACAACATGTCGGCTAGTGTAGATACGGTTAGTAACTGGATCGAGGCAACGATAAGCACTTTGTTGATCACAATAACCTAAGAAAACACATGATTTAGATCGAGGCTCTAACTTATGTGATGTGTAAGGTCGGAGCCATGGAAAACACTGGCATCCAAAGATGGCAAGTTTTGTATAACTAGGGGGACGATGAAAGAGTTTTTCATAGGGAGTGCAAAAGTTTATAGACGCCGCAGGTTGTCTATTGATTAGATAAACTGCGGTAAGAAAGGCATAAGACCAATACTTGAGTGGCATGGAGGCATGGTGGAGCAAGGTGATCCCCGTTTCCACAATGTGCCGATGTCGCCGTTCAGCAAAACCATTGTGTTCTGGAGTATACGGTGGGGTGAGTAGATGAGAAATACCACATGTGGCAAGATATTTTCCTAGAGTAATATACTCGCCCCCTCTATCGGAATAAACCATTTTAATTTGTCTTTGGAAAAAGGTTTCCACAATTTTCTTAAATTTCTGAAAAACTGTAGTGACTTCAGATTTATGAGTAAGAGTATAGAACCAAATATATTTGGTAAAATGATCGACAAAAATAACATAATAACGAAAACCATCGACGGAATTAATGTGAGAAGGGCCCCAAACATCTGTATAAATGAGATCAAGGGGGCCTGTGCTAGAAAGAGAAGACTTTGCAAAGGGTAACTTGTGACTTTTATTACTTGCACACGATACACATAAAGAAGTATTCTTAGTAAAATGCTTAGAGGAAATACCTAAAGAAGAAAGAATTTTTTGAGTGATAGGAAGGGCAGGGTGTCCTAAACGACAATGCCAATTATTAATAGAAAAGTTCCTAGCAACATTAACACACGGGGGTGGTGGAGTGGGCACTTCAGGAAGGCTGTAGACATCACCGCTATTCATACCCCGTAACAAAATTGCTCCCGTTTGCCGGTCCTTCACAAGACAAAAAGAAGGATGAAATTCAATTAGTACATCATTATCACGACATAATTTAGCTACCGAAATTAAATTTGTGTGAATAGATGGAACAAAGAGGGTATTAGGTAGAGAGAGAGTTAAGGGTCATATTCCCAACTTGTGCAATCGCAAGACCTTTACCGTTACCAATAATGAGAGAATCGGTGCCAGTGTAATCAGATGCCAAGCTCAAGTTATTTAAATTATTTGTGACATGGTTGGTTGCACCGGAGTCAAGCAACCACCCATTTCTGCCTGTTGTGGCGGTATTAGCCTGAGGAGGGTAGGCTTGCTGTTCAAAACGGTGCCAACAATTGAGAGCAAGATGATTCGGTTTACCACAGATTTGGCATATAAGATTACCCCCGGGATTATTGCGTCCTCCCATGCTGTTTTGGCCTCCAAAATTGTTGATTCCACGTTGGTTCGGGTTGACTGAATTATTGGGCCGCCGGGTTCGGGCCTGATTCCTGTTATGGGTGCGATTTTGATTAAAGGTCCGACTGGTTGGACTTTGAGTTGTACTTGGGCCAGGTCCCAATATAGAGGGGCTTTCTGGAGTGCTAGTTGTCCGTCGAGTCATCAGTCCAAGTGGAGTGCTCTCTGCTACCACCGTATTCGCAGTAACGACGGGAGAAGGAGGAGTATTTATGAACTCTTTTCTTTGAAGTTTCTCTTCAAAACCCACGAGCAGTCCATACACGGTCTCAAATTTTGGAGCTCCTAGGGTTCGGATGGAGTTCTCCATCGACTCGAATTCTGGACGGAGTCCCTCGAGTACCTGCAGAAAAAAGTCTTCGTCATCCACAGGTCTTCCTGCCCGGGCCAGTTCGTTCGCCAGATTCTTGAGATGATGTAAATATTCACCGACGGGCTGAGATCCCTGCTTCGTATGACGAAACCGATCTTTGAGGTTTCGGATCGTCGAGGCAGACAGCGTGCCATAAAGACGTTCCAGTGTTTTCCAGACAGCAGCAGAAGTCCGAGCAGAGCTAATCAAGGGTTTGCAAGCCGTGCTCAAGGAGGAGACAAGTGCGTGGCGTAGAAGACGATCCTGTCTGGTCCAGAGGAGATGAGCGACAGCATCACTTGTCGGGGGTGGAGTAGCATCCTCTTCGATATACTGATTCAAGTGGGAACCGAAGAGAAGATCAAGGACTTGGTCTCGCCAAATCAGGTAATTCGACCCATCTAGTTTTTCTGGGAATTGGCTGGGGTTGAGCATGATCAGTCCGTCGGGTGTTAAGGTGTTGTTGACGGAAGTAGGGACGGTGTTTGGGGTGGTTATGAATTGGCTAGTGTTTGTGGTGGGTATAGATTCGTTGGTGAGAGGGTGTTCCAGGTCTTCATGTTCCTGGGAGCCCTCTGGGCGTGTGGCTATGTTTCCGCCACCAGCCATGGAGGAAGGGCTGGTAAAAGCTCTACGGCTCTGATACCATAAAGGAGTTTAAGAGAGAAGAATTTTTCAGAACTGAACTTGATGATCATTCCATTAATCTGTGGTGGTATTTATACAACCAAGGAGCTACTCTATAAGGAAAGGAAATATTCTAGCATAATTATTATAAATACAAATATATTTTCCTTAACTAGAATGGTATAACGGTAGATACTAATTTATTTCCTTTGGGAAAGATCCTGGGATATTTTGTCTTCTATAAGTTATACGTTAAGTGAATTATAAGCAAACTATACTCGAATAAACTAACAAGAATGTGTGATATTGGTCTATTGCAAGAGAAATAGAGACACATACTGTTCTGCCACCCAAGGGAGATTGAGAGACATCTGATTCTAGCCTTTCATTTACTGCAGACTGTTTAGAAGCACCATTTGGAGCATTCAGGAACCCACGCATGTCTGCCTGTAGTGAAAGAAAATCTCGTGTTGCTTCTTGTTTGGCAAGGTACTTACCTATTGACTTAAAGTTCTCTTGACAAAAGGATAAGTTAAAGAAACATATGAATAAGAGATGAAGGTATCATCTACCTGCATTGAGCGTAGCAATGCCCTCAAATCAGCATTTTCTGATGCTAGTTCTTGATTTTTCACTTCGTAAGCATCCACCTGTATAATTGGATGCATTTTAAGAGGCTGTTCACAAAATTGTGATGTTTTCAAGCAAAAGAAGTATTATGTCCTTTATCACTTTTACATAATATGTTTTAACAGAAATGAATTAGAATAACTCAATAACCAACACAAGGAAAACAAGTTAAAAACAAGTAACGAAGAAGCTTCAAGAAGAGGTCATTTTATGGTGATGTGAAACATATTTCTGAAGGATCAGAGAAAGGTGGATGAAATGGAAGAGTGCATCAGAATTTTTATATGATCGAGGTATGTCGACTAGACTGAACGGTAAATTTTATCGGACAGCAATTAGGCATGCATTAATGTATGGCGTAGAATGTTGGGCGGTGAAACAATGTCACATTCAAAAGATGAGTGTGACAGAGATGTGTATGTTGTGTTGGATGTGTGGAGTGTGGACATGCCAGAAAAGACCGCTTGAGGTATGAGACAATCAAACAAAAGATGAGAGTAGAACCTATGAAAGATAAGATACAAGTCTCTCGATTGCAGTAACAAATGATCGACAACTGATGGAATGAATCGGGAGGAAGGGGAGCGCCAGAGGGTTTGGGCGCCGATGACAAACTGTAACGCAGAGCAGCTCTAGCAGGCGAGGACTACACAGGGAAGATTTGGCTGGTCAGAGGACTGGTGGCGTTCGAGCGATTCACATCCAAACTGATTTGTTGGCGGATGGGAAATCATAGGGGCACAAGCTTTCCCCTACTAGGTGAATCAAGGGCGGCTCACACCAGACCGATGGAGGAGGACTTCAGCAGCTGCAAGACAGGAAGCAAACAGTTGGTTTCCATTTGCTCGGAGAATTAAATCAGAAGGCTATGGGAGATTTCCAAGATCCAGACTTGGTTGGAGGCGACACAGACAAAGCAGGGAAGTGGACATTAATTCGGACATGTTTTTTTATCTTCATCTGGATGTTAACAACTTGCAAATCAGGAACAAATGTGGGCGACACAGGGGAATTCCAGAGAGGCAGAAGATGGAAGCATGGACGGAACAGGGGAAAGGGAATTTACACGACGTAGGTAATAGGGGAATTTGCAACTGCTCAAATTCAGCAAGCCAAGATCAGGGGCTCAATTACAGGTCTAAGGCTCATAAAGTTGCTTTCAAGGAAGTACCTCTCAAATATGGTAAGGGTGATTACAATTCAGAATCCGACGGGTTTGATATTGCAATTGAAAGCAAAACTTTTAGTTTCAATTGGTTTTCGAATGATATGATTAGCATTTGTGAACTTAAACATGGATATTCTTCTTCAATTGATTTTGATCTAGCCAAATTGATCTTACTGAGGGATGGCATCACCAAGATGCTAGCTGATAAATGGTCTTGCAATAGGCTGGAAGTAGGGAAATCGATTATCATCCTATTTGATGTCAATTTTTTTTTTGGGGGGGGGGCTTTTATCGTATCATCGGAAAAGGTCATGACTTTATCTTTATACCTGAGGGTCGAAATGGATCCGGAATTAAAGATTTTTTTACAGGCATCTCAAGAGCCATTAATCTGATGACTCAACAAAGTGAAGAACTGTTGGCTTTAGATAGGGATTCATGGCCACTCGAGCATAATGACCTCTCTATATCTAGCATTTTGTTTCAAATGTTAGGAATTTAACTCACAAACACGAAGAACAATTAAAGAACACACGAAATTTGGTAACCCAGTTCGCCACAGAGGACTACGTCTGGGGGCGCTACCAAGCCAGGAATGTTATTAATATTTTCTGGATACATATTACAAGAGAGGAGAGTGGTATTTATAGAGATGCAGTGTCTTGTTCCCAAAGCAACATAACCCCTAATTAAATTAGGATGTGTTTCCAAAAATAAATTAAGAAACGTGTTTCCAAGAATAAATTAAGAAACTGTCTCTAACACCTTACATTCTCCCACCTTGAGACTGTCTTCTTCAAATCCTCCCTTGTTAGCATGGTAGCGCCGGCCTTCAACTTCAAGTACCAAGGCCAATTGAAGCTATGCAAAGCTTCAACTTCTCCAAGGTTACCACCTTAGTAAACATGTCTGCTGGATTCTCACTCTCACGGATCTTCACAAGCTGCAATGCCTTTATCTCTAGAAGATGACGGATGTAGTGATACTTCAATCGAATGTGTTTGTTTCTCTTGTGAAAAGCTGAGTTGTTTGCCAAGAAGATAGCACTTTGACTGTCACTGTAAAGAATGTTATTCTTGTACTCCTTCCCAAGTTCCCCAAGTAAATTCTGAAGCCACACCATCTCCTTACTTGCCTCCGTAATGGCCACATATTCTGCCTCTGTAGTAGATAATGCAACAATCTTCTGCAGCTGCGAAAGCCAAGATACTGTTGTTAACATACCATGTGGTGCTTCTTGATCCATCCGAGTAGCTCTACATGTCCCGGCAGCTCTACATTCTTTCCATCAAAACACAAAGCATTAGAAGCAGTACCTTTCAAATACCTCATGATCCACTTCACAGGTTCCCAGTGTTCTTTCTCGGGGTCTCCCATGTATCTGCTCACTACTCCCACCGCATGTGCAATGTCTGGCCTCGTGCAAACCATAGCGTACATGATGCTGCCAATTGCCGATGATGCGTATGGAATCTTCTGCATTTGAGCACGGTCCTCCTTGTTCTTTGGAGAATCTTCTTTGCTAAGCTTGAAGTGACTACCCAATGGAACACTTACAGCCTTAGCATCTTGCATTCTGAATCTTTCCAAGACCTTCTGAATGTATTCTACCTGTGAAAGAAACAATCTGCCCGCTGCCTCATCCCTCTCGATTCGCATGCCCAAAATCTGCTTTGCCTCTCCAAGATCCTTCATGGAAAAACGTTCTGACAACTGTTTCTTTAGCTTCTCAATCTCCTTTGAACTAGCTCCTGCAATCAACATGTCATCTACATATAATAGCAAGATAAGATAACAGTTCTCAGTCTTCTTGTAGTAGCAGCAATTGTCGGTGTGACATCTCAAGAAACTGATTTCCCGCATGAAACCATCAAATTTCCTGTACCACTGCTTCGGTGCCTGCCTCATCCCTCTCGATTCGCATGCCCAAAATCTGCTTTGCCTCTCCAAGATCCTTCATGGAAAAACGTTCTGACAACTGTTTCTTTAGCTTCTCAATCTCCTTTGAACTAGCTCCTGCAATCAACATGTCATCTACATATAATAGCAAGATAAGATAACAGTTCTCAGTCTTCTTGTAGTAGCAGCAATTGTCGGTGTGACATCTCAAGAAACTGATTTCCCGCATGAAACCATCAAATTTCTTGTACCACTGCTTCGGTGCCTGCTTCAACCCGTATAAGCTCTTCACTAGCTTGTATACGAGATTCTCACTGCCCTCTGCCACATAGCCCTCTGGTTGCACCATGTAAATCTCGTCATTCAGATCACCATGAAGGAATGCAGTCTTCACATCCATCTTATGTAACAACAAATTTTCTGCAGCAACTAACCCCAACACCAACTGAATAGTAGTTAGTTTGACAACTGGAGAGAATATGTCGGTATAATCAATATCATAGCGTTGCTCAAACCCCTTCACAACCAGTCTAGCTTTGTAGCGTTTGCTACCATCTGCCTCCTTGATGCGGTAGACCCACTTGCAGTGCAAAGCCTTCTTTCCTCTCGGTAGTTCAACTAACCTCCAAGTATCATTGGATGTGAGAGATGTCATCTCATCATCCATTGCAAGTTTCCACTTGCCCTTGTCATCAACCCGAATTGCCTCTGCATAAGACTCCGGTTCACCACCGTCAGTAAGCAACAAATAGAAATTAGAAGGTGAATACCTATTTGGTGCTCTTCGGTTCCTAGCAGGCCGCTGCCTTGGCGGAGTTGATGGATCCTCATCACTGCTCATCTCTTCATTCTGATCCTGCTTGCTCCCACCCGAATTAGAGATATCCAGCTCTATGATCTTCGGACTTTCTTGCTCAGAATCAGATGCGCTCAATCTGTCCTTGTACAGAACCTGCTCGTTGAACACCACATCTCGACTACGAATAATCTTCCTATTCTGTTCATCCCAAAATCTGTATTCATAGTCATCACCACCATATCCAACGAACGTACACTTCAAAGATTTTGCGTCTAACTTGCTTCGGTCAACGGAATTGATATAAACATAAGCAACACAACCAAATATGCGGAGATATGACAGATTTACCTCTTTACCCGTCCACCTTTCTTCAGGAATGCCATTCTCCAACGAGATTGTTGGACTTCTGTTGATGAGAAAAGCCGCGGTGTTCACTGCATCCGCCCAAAACATCTTCGGTAAGCCACTCTTCAACCTCATGCATCTAGCCCGCTCATTCAGTGTTCTGTTCATGCGTTTAGCAACGCCATTATGCTGCGGAGTCCCCTTAGTTGTCTTCTCCATACGAACCCCATTCTCAGCACAAAAATTCTTGAACTCATGCAGTTCATACTCACCCCCTGAAAGCACTACAACTTCAGACCCGACTCTGTCTCAACACGAGCTTTCCACCTCCTGAAAGCATCAAAGGCATCGGATTTATTTTTGAGAAAATAAACCCACACCTTTCTTGTGGCATCATCAATAAAGGTCATGTAGTAGGCGGATCCTCCCAAGGATGTAACTTCTGCAGGTCCCCAAAGGTCGGTGTGAACTAGTTCCAGCTTCTTCGGTTTGATAGCTCGTCTTCCCTTTGAGAAACTGACACGTTTCTGTTTCCCGAATATGCAGTCCTCACATAAGCCAACCTCAACAGTCTTCAGGCCGGGCAGTTTGCCCTTCGAGCACAGCTCCTTCATCCCCTTTTCGCTCATGAGACCGAGCCGACAGTGCCACAAATTCACAAGAATAAATTAAGAAACGTGTTTCCAAGAATAAATTAAGAAACTGTCTCTAACACCTTACATCAAAATGACATTGAATACTTTACACAAGCGAAGATCTCTCTTGAGACAAGCATATTAGGGACAAATGCGAGTTTGAACTCAGGAGAAATCCTAGAAGTTATGCCTCTCAATGTGAATGTTGAGGGCAATATGAATTCTTCAAACGAGGAGGCCTCTCACAGCGGCAGGCAACAAGAATAAAATAATAGTGCACTAAAGGCTGATATTCAAGGTTTTTCTCCTTCGACAATGGATATGTCTTCATCAACTACTTTGATTTCTTCTTCTGATGCATCAAGGGAACTAACTTCTTGCTCCTAGAAGAATGTGAAAGAGGATGAAAATATGTTTCCCAAGCGGAAGGTTGTGGTTAAGAACTCCAAGCCGACTACTATTTCCTATCCTTCTCTCCAAGATCTTATCACTCAATTCAAGGCAGATCAGATGAGTTTAGACAAAAGGACGAAACCTCAGATTTTGGCTCAGAGTGTTGCTCTCTCTTCATCTGCGGCTTCAGTGACTTCTTTGGTTTTAATTGAAAAAATGATTTAATTGAGGTCACCGAAGATTGCTCTTTCACTCCAGGTATTTCTTGGCGTAACAAGTAAAAACTGACTATTCAGGCTTCCTCCATGCAAACTAGGCCACAATCGCCCTTGAAAGCTTAATCTTTAGCTTAGTTTGCTTTCGTTAGTTTAGTTTATTTTTTATTGCTTTAGCTTTCTTCTTTCATTAGCGCAGGTATTGCTATCATTCTTTTTAAAGACTAGCACCTAAAGACTAGGTGTCCCCTAGTCAGCAACTAGGGGACACATAACATAGTAGTACCTTGTCTTAGGATTTTTTTAATTGGGACTGTAATTTTCTGGTCGGGGCTGGTTTGCTATCATTCTTCTTTCACTCGACCTTCTGCGCACATGACCAAACCATTGCAATCAAGACTCTTTTTTAAGAAGAAACCAAATTTTATTAAAAAGTCTAGCACCTAAAGACTAGGTGTCCCCTAGTCGGCAACTAGGGGACACATAACATAGTAGTACCTTGTCTTAGAATTTTTTTGATTGGGACTGTAATTTTCTGGTCGGGGCTGATTTGCTATCATTCTTCTTTCACTCGGCCTTTTGCGCACATGACCAAACCATTGCAATCGAGACTCTTTTGCAATAACCTTGTATTGCAATGGTTATTGCTATCATTCTTCTTCATTAGCGCGGGTATTGCTATCATTCTATAGGTGTTACTCACACCTTTTGTTTGATTATCTCATTCCTCAAGGCGATCTTTTCTGGTATGTCCACGCATCCAATGCAACATACGCATCTCTGCCACACTCATATTTATGGGGGGGTAATACTACTTTTTTGGAGTTTCACGTTGTTTTCACTCCTATTTCGGGAAATTTTTATGATAAAAAACAAGTCATTTATGGATATTTTTATGAGAGCCTTGTCTTTCGTGTCCAACCTCCCTTTCAGGGTCAAACGAGTACTCCTTCCCCTTCTTCGGTTCAGCGAAGATCTACTTTCAACATCTTAAATATGAATAATCAGACTAGACAAGAAATCCGTCATGCAGTAAGTTTGCTTCAAAAAGTTCTTCCTGTTTCCTTTTTGGGTAGTTCCCAAAGAGCTTCTCATTTACTTTTAACGAAAAAAATGTGTGGATAATATTGAATTCTATCTTTCCAAATACATCACCACACAATTTCACTGCTTAGAAAATTGTGCAAAAAGTATAGGGAAAGAACATTATGGAACAAAGGGAGTAAAGTTAACTCTACCACTTACAATCTTCTTATAGAAGTCATTATCAGCCTTCTTTGCATTCCATGTGCCCCTCTGCCGTCCTTCTTTCTATTGAGCACATCAGCACATGTGTGTGTCATAAACTGACTCAATTGATGAACTGCGAGAATATGGTGAGTAGAGAATAAAGTAGTAATGATAGTAACATTAGGACCTGAAGTAAGTTCATTATTTCCATGCCTGATCTAGATTCCTTTTTTTTCTCCATCACCACTTGATTTAACCTCTCCTGCAAACATAAAATGATACTCTTTCACTAGTTAAACAATGCCCCATACAATACCTATTCAATTAGTTTCTAAAACTAATTCTGCATAAATAGGAGAAATAGAGCAGATGAGAGAGATTCAAATATCCTACCTGCAACTTCATGTACTCCTTTTCCCTTTTCTTCATCTCATATACCTGTTGAGTTCTTACTTGCTACCAGTAGAAGTAACAAAAATAATCAAAGTTTAACTGGCATGCATTGGAAAAATGTCTGAATAGCAATTGAAATAAATAAATAACTATTCAAACCTGATTACCAAGAACCATTTTTTGAAATTCATCTCTTTCCTTCTGCAGCTTCTCAATATGGGCCTTCAATGCTGCAACAGCTTTACTATTCTGTACATAATTATTTTATGCAGTCTTCACATTGTTCAAATTGATACAGATAGAGTAAAAAATTATTAAGTGTAAGGAAGCTATATCCTTACCTCTCTAGTAAGTGTTGCAATCTCTCTATCTTTGCCTTGTAACTCTAAGTCCAGCCTCTCCCCTTTGGACTCTAATCTGGATATGTCTGACAAAAGTCTGTAGGAAGAAAAAGTGAGATACTACATTGAAATTAATGAAATATCTTTAACATCAAGTACAGCTTTCCTAATAGTTGATCATTTTGAAAATACAGCCACATTGCAAGTAAACTCCCAGCACTAAAAAACATGAGTTTCAAAAAAATAACTATGAACCCATTGGAAAGGAGATAGATACATACATACATTCTAGTAATAAAATTACACATTACACATTCCATGATCAGTGAAAGTTTAACCACCAATCATTCATGATGTTAATTACAGGCAAAGAAAAGAAAGCATGAACCACAATGGCCAAGGATATGAATATATGATATCCAATGGTTTAACTATAACGCAGACAATGTTATAAGACTAAATCTTGACAGCTTTGAGCAACTCATAAGCTACAAGGAAAGAACAAGAAACAATGACCAATATAATACTCCTGCGGGTTCAAAAGACAAAATTGAGCCTGTTTTACCATCCGGACAAAAAAGAGACCCATTATGCATTGATGGACTGAATTACCCCTAATATAAGTTATGTAGCAGAACCCCAAATTCAACAACCTAGCTCCCGTCCCTTAGCCCTGCCATTCTAGCACCCACATCGCTTGAGGAGTACCGCCCTTGCCGCTGCAATGGGACCGCCATTGACACTTCAGCACTCGTCGGCCGTCTTTGGCGCTTCAGCACTCGTCGGTCGTCGTCGCCGTCGCCGCTTCAGAACTCTCCTACTTCCTCTCCGCTTCAGCAGTCATCGGCTGCCATAGCTTCAACTCTCACCACCGGTCACCGTCGATTCAGCTCTCACTAGTGCGCCGGTCGCCGATTCAGCCCTCAAACGTCTCTTCTGGTCTAATCCACCACCACTTCCTTAGTTCCTTCTACTATCTTCTCCTCTGCCTGAACGATTGAGGATGAAGAATGCGATGGAGGCGAGCACGGTGCTTCAGATCTGGTTCAGATCCGGCATTTTTGTGCGGCGGGCCGGTGGAGAGGTTCATAACCGGGAAGTTATGGCTATGGACGAGTTGTGACGAGGTCAGCGGCGAGGCGAGTTATTGGCAGTGCTGGGGTGGGCTGGTGGGGAAGGGGTGGACTGGTGAACAGGGGTGATTGGGGCAAGGGAGTTGGGGTTGTCATGGCGGCGTGGCAGCAAATGTCAGGGATGGGGTGGTCACTGACGTGGTGGTTTGGTCATCGGCGTTGGTGGGCGGAGGAGTTGATGGCCGGAGGGGGTGGTTTGCCGGAGGCAGTTTCCGGCGGCAGTGGCAGGGGGTTTGGGTTAGAGGCGGGGTGTGGATGCCATCCGCCAGAGTGAGTGTGATGGTTGTGTCACGGCGGCCATGGCTGCTGCGGATGGTGGTGTTATTATAAATTTGTTTGGAAAAATATGTCACTGGACTAATTGTAAGTGTAATTGATCGGGTTCGGTAACTATAGTTAATCGAATCGAGTAACTGCAACTAGTAAAATTGGATAAATAAAAGTAGTTGAGTTGAGTAACTGTAACTAATTAGGTCGAGTAACTGTAATTGGCCGAATGTTGCTCACTAACGTAAGTCATTGCACGGGCGGAAGTCACTATGTTATCAAGCGGATTTTTTGGTAACTGACGATTTTGGTCACTGGTGATTTTTAGATTTTTGGTCACTAATGATTTTTTGTCACTGACGAATTTTGGTCACTGGTGAATTTTGGATTTTTGGTCACTAATGATTTTTAAGCATTGGATGAATTTTGTAACTATGTCACTGTAACATTGGTCACTGCACATTTGGTCACTGTGACGGGTTACTGTAGCAGGCCAGTGGGTTTGGGCTTAGTAAGGGTGTAATAGTCCCTTAAGGATTATTTAGTCTTATTGTTGGAACTTAAAAGAAAAGTCTCTTTTTTTGTCCAAATGCTTTTAATTAGTATTATTTTAGGACAAACCCCAAAGAACAACTGACGCCATGACACATTGATGCCAAACTTAACAACATCATGGAAGGAAATAAAAAATTATACATTACCTCTGTCGCTGCTCATTTGCAGACTCCCTAAATGATATATCCCTTTGTCTCTGCTGCAACAAAGCATATACGCAATTGCACGTCCTTGCGATTGAAATCTGAATATTTTAAACCCTTAGTTAGAGTAGAAAGAAATGGTTTTAGGTGGGTGGGTGGGTGTGTGGATAAAGAACAATATTGATTCAAAAGAATTGGAAACTTGGCTAATAGGGGTGTATTGTATTAGGATTTATGGGCAAAATTTTAAAAGTACATGGATTTTAAAAGTTTAGGTGTATTCAATGTGGACTTTTAAAAGTCCACAAAAGTCTAGGTGTATTCAATTCAGACTTTTAAAAGTCTATAAAAGTCTAGGCGTATTCAAATTTCCGTTCATTCTTATTGACTTCTAAAATCATGGATTCTCGTGGACTTTTAACTCATTTTTAGTGCAAAAATTCTCTACAATTGTCTCTTCTCCTCACCAAAGATTTCAGTGGACTTTTCTTATATCGGTTCTTCATCCCGTCCCACCCCATTCCTCCTCTCCCTCCTAGGGATGGACCGGGCCAGACCCGGTTTCTGTTCCGAGTCGGGCCCGGCCGGGCTTGGAATTTTTTGGGTAAGGCCCGGGACCAGCCCGGGAGTCTACCGGTATCGGGCCGGGCCAGTTCCGGGTTGGGCCGGGCTGGTTCATTTTTTTCGGTTTTCTTATATATTCCAACCCTCACCCCTCAAACCCCTCCAAAACACCCAGCCTACCTACCATAGGCCCAACCCCCCCCCCCACCCACCCAAAAAAAAAAATAAGGCCCGGACCGGCCGGGCTGATCCTCAAATATGCAGTTCCGGAACCGCCCCAATTAATCCCCCCGGGTCGGGCCTAGGCCCGGTACCGATCCAATGGGCCGGGTCGGACCCGCACAGTGGCAGGCCGGGCCGGGTCGGACCCGCACAGTGGCGGCCGGGCCGGGTCCCGGGCCAGTCAGACCGGCCTCGGGCCAAGCCTACTCCCCCCTCCCCCAACTCTACTCTTCTTTAGTCAAGCCACACCTTCCTCTTCAATCTTTCTTCTTTTTCTTCTTCAACCCAGCTCGCCCACCCCTCTCTTTCCATTCTTCTTCTTCTTCTTCTTCTTCTTTAGCTTGCCGTCCCCAGTCCACCCCGTCAATTCAGTAATCCTATATTGATTCGATTCTAGAAGTTTATAGAAGAACCGATATAAGAATCGATAGTATTACATCAATGCAATTCTGATACGTCATCAGTTAACCATTAAGAAAATAAATATTTTAACTACCACTTTCTTTCATCGTTAAATCGCTTAACACATATAAATATAATTTCAAATTAATAAATATATATCCATAAATACATATACAAGTTTTTACAAGATAGAAGTTAAAAGAAAACAATCACTAAGTAGAAAAGCTCGATTGCATTTATGCTTGTACCACATGTAGCAATGAGTGTAACGCTTGTGTAACGATTAATGTTCTTAATCATTAATAAAATGGCCAAAATTCTCGAGCATTTTTGAAACTTTGATTTTTTTTAATAAAAATGAATTTGAATTCTTATGCTTCATTTATTTTTGTAGAACTTTGTCTTGCTATTTGAATTACATTTTTTCATTTTTGAAACTCCGCCATGAGATCAATTTTTTTGGTTTCATGCCTGTCCCAAGCCAGGATAAAGGAGGAGGGTGCTGTGGTAGGCGCGTGACGGCCAACAGTATTACCTAGTCACATCACATGACATGAATCGAAATATGAATATCGTTACAGCTAGGTCGTCGCCCGTAAGCGACGCGTCATCCCTCCGCCTGGGGGTGGTGTCAAATATGCAAGGGTGCGCTACACTTCATAGGCCTGGGTGTGGTGATAAGAATGCTAAGGTTGCTAGGTCGTCGCCCGGAAGCGGCGCGTCATCCCATTGCCCGAGGATGATGTCAAATATGCACGGGCATGGTGGGATCCGAGGCGGGGCTAAGAACATAAGGTGGAGTGCTAGATTGCGCTTTGGGACGTGGAATGTTGGGTCTCTTACAGGCAGATCTTCCGAGGTAGTCGAAGTTATGAGGAGGAGGAATATCAGCATTATGTGTGTGCAAGAAACTAAATGGGTTGGAGAGAAAGCACGTGAGATTAATCCTGGAGGTTTTAAGTTGTGGTATTCGGGGAGAGATAAGACCAGGAATGGGGTAGGCATTATTGTGGCGCGTGACTATGTTGAAGATGTGGTAGAAGTCTTCAGGAAGAACGATCGTATCATGAGCATTAAATTGGTGATGAGGGGTGAGATTGTGTCTGTGATAAGTGCCTATGCACCACAAGTGGGATTGGATGCATCTACGACTCAACAGTTTTGGGAAGATCTTGAAGAAGTGGTGCGGCGAGTGCCAAGGGGAGAGAAGTTGGTCATAGGAGGCGACCTCAACGGGCATGTGGGCTTGAGCCGTGATGGCTTTGAGAGTATTCATGGCGGACATGGTTTTGGCACTAGAAATGAAGCAGGAAAGAACATTTTGGATTTTGCCTCGACGTATGAGTTGGCTATAATGAACACTTGGTTTAGGAAAAGAGACTCTCACCTTGTAACCTATAGAAGTGGAGCTAATAGTACCCAAATTGACTACTTCTTAGTACGGACTACTCGGAGAACTAGCTACACCGATTGTAAGGTTATCCCAGGTGAGAGTGTTGTCACTCAGCATAGGATGCTTGTGCTTGACTTTCGAGGTAAGAACCATAGAAGACAAGTTAAGCAACAAGTGGAGCCAAAGATAAAGTGGTGGAGGCTTGAGGGAGATCTTCAACAAAGTTTTGCACACAAAATGTTCGGTGAAGATGTATGGCGTATTGATAATGGAACACATGTGGAGGATGCGTGGTTATCGATGGACCTGACCATCAACAAAGTGGCAAAGGAGGTACTTGGAGAATCTAAAGGATGTCTGCCACCCAAAAAGGACACGTCGTGGTGGAATGATGAGGTGAAACAAGCCATAAGGAACAAAAGATATTGCTACAAAAAGTTGGGGACAAGTCGGAGTGATGAGAACATAGAAGCATACAAGGAGGCTAGAAGACAAGCAAAAAAAGCCGTAAAGGAATCACAAGGGAAAGTGAACAAGGAGTTGTATGAAAAATTGGACTCTAAGGAAGGAGAACAAGATATCTATAAACTTGCTCGTCTTCGTGATCGTAGGACTCAAGATATCGGAAAAGTTAAGTGTGTGAAGGATGTCGATCAAAGGATATTAATGGAGGACATAGAGATAAAAGAGAGGTGGAGGTCATACTTTGACACATTGTTCAACGGGAACAAAGTGCAAGATATTGGTGATTTGACCATACCAGATTGTATGGTAAATCGTGATTTTGTGAGAAGGATCCAACCAACGGAAGTTAAAGAGGCTCTGAGAAAGATGGGGCGGAAGAAAGCAGTGGGTCCAGATGGCATATCGATCGAGGCTTGGAGAAGTTTGGGAGAGAGAGGCATCGAGTGGTTAACAAATTTCTTCAACAAGATTTGGAGAAACAACAAGATGCCAACGAGTTGGAGAAAGAGTACTCTTATTCCCTTATTTAAGAATAAAGGTGATGTACAAGAATGTGCCAACTATCGAGGGATTAAGCTTATGAGTCATACCATGAAACTTTGGGAGCGAGTGATTGAGCAAAGACTTCGAAGAACGGTGAAGATTTCAGAGAATCAATTCGGTTTTATGTCTGGTCGCTCAACAACTGAGGCTATTCACCTTCTTCGGCAACTTATGGAGAAGTATAGAGACGCTCACAAGGATTTGCATTTAGTGTTCATTGACTTAGAAAAGGCATATGATAGGGTACCTCGAGAAGTTCTTTGGTGGGCCTTAACTAGAAAAGGCATTTCATGGAAGTATATCAGCATCATCATGGATATGTATGAGGATTGTACTACAAGTGTCCGTACTAGTGTAGGGAGGACTGCGGAGTTCCCTATTACTATCGGAGTGCACCAAGGATCGGCTCTGAGCCCTTTTTTATTTGCCATAGTCATGGATGAACTTACAAAGTCAATTCAAGATGATATACCGTGGTGCATGATGTTTGCCGATGATATTGTATTGATTGATGAGACACAATCAGGGGTTAAAGCAAAGTTGGAAGTATGGCGACAAACATTGGAGAACAAGGGTTTCAGACTAAGTAGGAGCAAGACAGAGTACATGGAGTGCAAGTTTGGTGGAGGTAGAAGCAGTGGTAATAGCGGAATTACTTTAGATGGTAAGGAGATACCGGTCAGCGATATGTTCCGTTACTTGGGCTCCATAATTCAGAAGGACGGTGAGTTAGATGGAGATGTATCCCATAGAATCAGAACAGGGTGGATGAAGTGGAAGAGTGCGTCAGGATTTCTATGTGATCGAGGTATGCCGACTAGACTGAAGGGTAAATTTTATAGGACAGCAATTAGACCTGCACTACTGTATGGCACGGAGTGTTGGGCGGTGAAACAATGTCACATTCAAAAGATGAGTGTGGCAGAGATGCGCATGCTGCGTTAGATGTGCGGGCATACTAGAAAGGATCGTGTGAGGAATGAGACAATCAGACAAAGGGTGGGAGTAGCACCTATTGAAGATAAGATGCGGGAGTCGCGCCTACGATGGTTTGGTCATGTGCATAGGAGACCGATTGATGCACCTGTCAGACGAGTGGAGATGTGTGGAGAAGAGGCAGGGAAGAGAGGGAGAGGAAGGCCCAAACAGACGTGGGCTAGGGGAGTCAGAAGTGATATGCTTCTTCTTGGATTGGATGAGAGTATGGCTTTGGAAAGAGCGAAATGGAGGGCGGGTATTCGTGTGGAGGAGTGATATTGTATCATCTTTTCCCCTCTTTTCTTCTTCTTCTTCTTTTTCTTTTTCTTTTATATTTTTATCCTTATATATAAACATTACTTTATCCTTTTTATTTTATCTTTTATATGTATATTCATCTATTTTATATTATCTTTTTTATAATAGCTTATCTTTTTTATCTTTGTTTCCTTTCTTTTCTTTTGGATGATATCATGTATCGATTCATGTTAGCCGACCCCAATATCGTTTGGGACTAAGGCTTGGATGTTGTTG